TTGAATGCACTCTAAGTATGTTTTGACGCACTTTAAACATGTTTGGATGCACTCTAAATATGTTTGGACGTACTCTAAACGTGATTTGGTGCACTCAAAACATGTTTAGACGAACTCTAAACATGTTTCGACGCACTCTAAAAGTGTTTTAATGCACTCTAAACATGTTTGGATGCCCTCTAAACATGATTGGATGTCCTCTAAACATGTTTAGACGAACTCTAAACATGTTTCGAGTCACTCTTAATATGGTTCGACACTCTACAATTTTTTTAATGCACTCTAAACATGTTTGGATGCACTCTTAGTATATTTTGACGCACTTTAAACAAGTTTGGATGCACTCTAAATATGTTTCGACGTGCTCTAAACATTTTTCGACGAACTCTAAACATCTTTTATTACACTCTAAATATGTTTCGACGCACTTTAAACATGTTTTGACGCACTCTAAAAGTTTTTTAAAGCACTCTGAACATGTTTGGATGCACTCTAAACATGTTTGGATGCACTCTAAACATGTTTAGATTAACTCTAAACATGTTTCGACGCACTCTAAATATGGTTTGACGCACTCTAAACATGTTTGGATGCACTCTAAACATGTTTAGATGAACTCTAAACATGGTTCGACGCACTCTAAAAATGTTTTAATCCACTCTAAACATGTATGTATGCACTCTTACTATGTTTTGACGCACTTTAAACAAGTTTGAATGCGCTCTAAATATGTTTTGACGTATTCTAAACATCTTTTATTGCACTCTAAACATGTTTCGCCGCATTCTAAAAATGTTTTAATGCACTCTAAACATGTTTGGATGCACTCGAAACATGTTTAGACGAACTCTAAACATGTTTTCGAGGCACTCTAAATTTGGTTCGACACACTCTAAAAATGTTTTAATGCATTCTAAACATGTTTGGATGCACTCTTAGTATGTTTTGACGCACTTTAAACAAGTTTGAATGCGCTCTAAATATGTTTCGGCGTGCTCTAAACATGTTTCGACGAACTCTAAACATATTTTATTGCGCTCTAAACATGTTTCGACGCACTTTAAACATGTTTTGAGCACTCTAAAAATGTTTTGATGCACTCTAGACATGTTTGGATGCACTCTAAAAGTGTTTGGACGCACTCTATACGTGTTTCGACGCACTCTAAGTATGTTTGGATGCACTCTAAACATGTTTCGACACATGCTAAAAATATTTCGATGCAATCTAAACATGTTTGGATGCTCTCTAAAAGTGTTTGGACGTATCTAAACGTGTTTGGCCAAACTCGAAACGTGTTTGAACGCACTTTAATCGTGTTTGGATGCACTCTAAGTATGTTTTGATGCACTTTAAACATGTTTGGATGCACTCTAAATATGTTTGGACGTACTCTAAACGTGATTTGGTACACTCAAAACATGTTTAGAGTAAACATGTTTGGATGCACTCAAAACATGTTTAGACGAGATCTAAACATGTTTCGAGTCACTTTAAATATGGTTCGACACTCTAAAAAATATTTTAATGCATTCTAAACATGTTTGGATGCACTCTTAGTATGTTTTGACGCACTTTAAACATATTTGGATGTGCTCTAAATATGTAAATATGCTGATTTGGTGAAATCTGTATGACGTGGCATGCCACGTCAGCATTAAAATTGACGGAACTTAACGTCGTTTACGGATATGGGGGAAATTGCAACACATTTTAAGATTTTGTGGGGGAATTTGGAAAAATTTGAAATACGATGTAGTTTTTTGTCAAATTAAAAATTGGTGTAGGAAATTAGAACTTTTTTGAAAATTTGTGGGGGAATATGTATCAAAGGCAAAATTAGAATATGATATCATCGAAGCGATCTGTTGTTTAGGGCCACTGAGCAGCCAATTGTTGTGCGGTTCTTCATCTCCCTCCCTTGTTTTTAGCCTCTATCGCTCCCCGCGGTGGTCCCTTCCTCAGATCAGGAGAAACATCTGGTACGGATCGAGAGAGATAATGTCGCAGAAGAAATTCATCTTCGAGGTCGAGGAGGGGAAGGCATCTAGCGATGGACGACCTTCTGTTGGCCCTACGTACCGCAGTGTCTTTGCCGAGGGAGGATTTCCCGAGCCGATCGAAGGAATGGAGAGTTGCTGGGATGTTTTCCGGTGAGATTCTCGCCTCTGTTTGGTTGTTTGTTGAGTGGATTGTGTCGAGAAAACAGCCAGATTGTTTGTTGAGTGAATTGGGTTGGATTTTATGTCCGTTATCGTTTATTGAGTGGATTGTTTGTTGAAATCTGTTGGATTTTATTCCCGAGAAGATAATTTTGTAGAGATCAATCGTCATCGTCCTTGTTTCTGTTTAGCTAGCGGGATAGTAAGATCGTCTATTGATGCCAAGTGTTTTTTCACGCTGATTCGTGTGATAAGTCTTGTAGAGCGTAAGGGCCGCGTAAAGTCGGGCTGGTTGGCGTCTGGTTCGAGAATTTTTGGGCTCTGGCTCGATGGAATGAGTTGATGTTTTTTTTTTTTTTTTTTTTATAATCCGGAAGTTCACCGGTCTTTTAGCCCAACTTGATGTTATGATGTTTCAAATGTGGCATCTTTTTTTGTCCCCTCGGTGATTTTTTTTCCCAACTTTTTTGTCATCTTGATATGCAATCACCCTGTAATTCTTCAAGTTGTTTTTACCGGCCATGAGAGCTTATGAATTGCTTATGGTACGCTTAACTGGTTGGGTATTTTCTATATTTACCTGCGCTATGTTATGCTTGCAGCATGTCTGTTGAGAAATATCCAAACAATCGGATGCTGGGTTACCGGAAGATTGTAGACGGGAAGGTATTGTGGTTATTGAGACTTGGGCTTCTGATTAACTTTCAACCTGCTGCTACTATATTCATCTGTATATCGTTCTTCGCAGGCGGGAAAGTATGTGTGGCAGACATACAAAGAAGTTTATGATATTGTCATAAAGCTTGGAAATTCTCTCCGTAGTTGTGGGATTGAAGAGGTTAAGATCCATCTTTGCTGCCCCAATCTACCTTCAGTCTCTTAATTGCTTTTTTTACTGGAGTGTGATTCTTCTGTATCCTAATACTTTAGTTTATATATACGGGGTTATAGGGAGGAAAATGTGGTATCTATGGCGCCAATTGCCCTGAGTGGATCATAAGCATGGAGGTAAATGGACCTCCGATCTATCAGCCCTATCATGGTAATCCACTGCATTTTGTTATATGTTTGACGGTGGACTATTTATGCAGGCTTGCAATGCACATGGTCTCTACTGTGTCCCTCTATATGATACATTAGGTAAGTCTATTTGTTGTTCAGTATTTTAATAGTTATATATGTATTTAGTCAAAGCATAAGCCTATCTGTTTCCAACTAGTAGAGTTATATTTTCGTTGTACACTTCCAGATAGTTTTAATCTAGTATAGCCTAATCAAACGTTTTGCTGAAGCTGGATTTGTGATCTATTCTATTGTCCTAACTGTCCTATCTCTTATAGGTGCTGGAGCTGTTGAATTTATTCTCTGTCATGCAGAGGTCTCAATTGCCTTTGTAGAGGAGAAGAAGATCCCTGAGGTACAACTAAAATATAATTTTATTTGGAAGTTGAGGATTACTTCGAGGAAATCTTTTTTTGTTTATGTTATGTTCTCCCGAAACCAAAAACAAGGATCCAGTGTATAAACTTTGGTTCTGACTCCAAATACACTTAGTGTTTTTTCAACTTTGGGCTCTACACATTTTATCTATTGTTGTGGATTCTTTTTTTGTATTCATAATTGCTTTTCTTTTTATTTTCAGCTATTTAAGACTTGCCCAAGCTCCACAAAGTACTTGAAGAGTGAGTAATTCTTATTTGATGTATCTATCCTTAATGGTTTCTACATGTGGTGTTAGTAAACTTTCGTGCTCGATTATACATGCAGCTGTTGTGAGTTTTGGCAGTGTCAAACCCGAACAAAGAGCAGAAGCCGAAAAGTTGGGATTGGTAATATATGCTTGGGATGAGTTTTTGGAGCTGGTAGGTGACAATAATTTGCATTTTTTTCTTTAAATGTCTCACATGTATAATTGTTCTATTTTACAATATTGCTCTCAATGGCCTCATCTATTTCTCTCGTGGATTCATCATATATTCCGGTGATGTTCATACTTGTAGAATGGAATAGATCATATTTACCTTGCCTTGAATTTTCTGTTGTACCTCTGAACGACAGGCTGAAGGCAAGCAATATGAACTTCCGATAAAAAAGAAAAGTGACATTTGCACAATTATGTATACTAGTGGTACCACTGGTGACCCAAAGGGAGTGATGCTTTCGAATGAAAGCATTGTCACTCTGATTGCGGGAGTGGATCGTCTGCTGGAAAGTGTAAACGAAGCGGTGAGTGTTTTTTCTCGCTTTCATGAATTTATCATAGAACCCACAACTTTGAGGTAGCTGTTGTACTCGACATAAGTTTTCTTATTTGATTCTTTGTTTTGTATGTGCAAATATACAGCTACACGTGGGGGATGTGTTTCTTTCATATCTTCCTCTTGCACATATCTTTGATCGGGTTATCGAGGAGTGTTTTATTCAACACGGTGCTTCAATCGGGTTCTGGCGTGGGGTGAGTAAATTCAAAATCTTTCTTGGCACCAGATAGGAAGTTGTTGCTAAAATTTTCATTGGGGTGTCTCCTCAGGATGTCAAATTGTTGATAGAAGACCTTGGTGAGCTAAAACCAACTGTTTTTTGTGCTGTTCCTCGTGTACTAGATCGAGTATACTCAGGTAAGAGCTTGTGAGATATGATATAATAAAGCATTTTCTACCCTTCATTAACAGTGTTGTCTGGTTTGTGAGATATGTATTTATTGTCTGGTTTTCAAGATCACAATTAACAGCATCGAGGTTAAGAATTTTTAACACCACGTTTTGTGAACTTATGCATCCTGATCTACTTTTGGGTATATTCTCTATCTCTGTGTTATTGCATTAATCCTGGTTGGGAAAGCCAACAGAAAACAAAAGAAAAACGAAGTCGATCCATTTCTTTCTCGGATCCAGCAAAAATAAATATAGATGAAATGTAAACCATTGATAATCTGTTATCTCTTATGAACGTCCTTTAGAATATGATATAGATCTCATGTAAATGCCATGGAAAGCGGGTCATATCCTGTAACATATTTGTTATCTGACCCATGTGAGGTGAAGGGTTCATTCTCCGTTGCCAGTAGAATTGATATTGAAGCTTTAATTTGGTTCTGGTGACGGGGTTTCGTTTTCTCAGAATCTTGACATCGGGCCTAATCCTTCTTTTGATGCCTATGACCAAAGAGATAATTTGTTTTATGTCATCTCTCACCGACCTTTTTCTGTGTTATGTCATGGACCTATACACACCAACAGGTTTGCAGCAGAAACTATCTGCTGGTAGTTTCTTCAAAAAGAAAATTTTTGATGTTGCATATTCCTAGTAAGTCAGACTTCACTTTGCTTCTAATTTACTTTTTTTTTTTATCGATCACTGTCTTTTTAGCTACTTGGATCTAACACAATCAACATCCTCAGTAAATTTGGAAATATGAAGAAGGGACATACTCATGTGGAGGCTTCCCCCTTTTTTGACAAACTTGTGTTCAATAAGGTGGCAAACTTCTTTGCTATACAACTTCCTCCAAAAACTTCTGAGGTTCCTTTACTATTTTTTTTTTTTATAAAATTCAATGTTATTTAATGACTGTTCTTTCTCACTCAGGTTAAGCAAGGGCTCGGAGGCAATGTGAGAATCATTTTATCTGGAGCGGCACCTCTTGCCAGTCATGTAGAATCATTTCTCAGAGTGGTTGCGTGCTCTCATGTTCTACAAGGATATGGTACATATACATATTCACAACCTTGAGCTCTTAAGAACCTTATGAACACGTGCAAATCTGAATCAAAATTTGCTGGTATTGTAATCCTTCATCCATCACCTGATATAAACCTGGCAACTCTTTTCCCTTACAAGCTAGTTTCCGAGAGAGTATTCCTATGGGATAATGCTAATTGGTTGGGATTTAATATGGATGGGGTTCTTTCAATTGCTTTAACTTTTTTTTTAATCAAATCCCATATGAGCAAAATCTATTTTGGGGAAGAGGCAATCCAAATCTCTTTGGTGGGTTGTCGTGAATGTAGTGCTGAAAGCATCAATATGTTTTGATTCAATATCGACAAAGCATGGGATTCATTGATAGCTTGTAAACCTTTTGATTCAATATTATCGAAAGTCCAGTGAAACACCCAAGTCTGCTTTCTAAATATCAGCGCCTATAATCAGAGTGGACCCCCATTGCGAGGAATGGGCTAACTAGGCAGGCCACATCGATCAAATATGGGATTGGTGATGACTTATAGATGCTTGTTCTATCTGTAAGATTGTGGTATCCATTGGCATAGGTCGAATGTGGCTTAGTCTCTTATCATATAATTCTTCCTTGTAGGTCTAACTGAGAGCTGTGCTGGAACTTTTGTCTCGCTGCCAAATGAAGTGGAAATGCTCGGCACTGTTGGTCCTCCAGTGCCAAATGTAGATGTACGCCTTGAATCTGTTCCTGAGATGGAATATGACGCTCTAGGAAGCACACCACGTGGTGAAATCTGCATTAGGGGAAAAACCTTGTTTACCGGGTACTACAAGCGCGAAGACCTCACCAATGAGGTTCTCATCGATGGATGGTTGCACACAGGTGTTTTTTTCTTCTCTGAATCCGTATTTTTTTTCCTTTAGTTATGACTGGATTGTGGGCAATTGGTATGGTAATTGGCTAATTGCTGTCAAAACTCTAAAACCTAAAGTATCTACCTGCCAACAATTTGGTTCGACACTCTAAAAAATATTTTAATGCATTCTAAACATGTTTGGATGCACTCTTAGTATGTTTTGACGCACTTTAAACATATTTGGATGTGCTCTAAATATGTTTCAACGTGCTCTAAACATGTTTCGACGAACTATAAACATCTTTTATTGCACTCTAAACATGTTTCGACGCACTTTAAACATGTTTTGACGCACTTTAAAAATGTTTTGATGCACTCTAAACATGTTTGGATGCACTCTAAAAGTGTTTGGACGCACTCTATACGTGTTTCAACGCATTCTAAGTATGTTTGGATGCACTCTAAACATGTTTCGACACATTCTAAAAATATTTCGATGCACTCTAACTATGTTTGGATGCTCTCTGAAAGTGTTTGGACGTATCTAAACGTGTTTGGACGCACTCTAAATGTGTTTGGACGTACTCTAAACGTGATTTGGTGCACTCAAAACATGTTTAGACGAACTCTAAACATGTTCCGACACACTCTAAAAGTGTTTTAATGCAATCTAAACATGTTTAGACGAACTCTAAACATGTTTCGAGGCACTCTAAATATGGTTCGACGCACTCTAAAAATGTTTTAATGCATTCTAAACATGTTTGGATGCACTCTTAGTATGTTTTGACGCACTTTAAACAAGTTTAGATGCACTCTAAA